AAACCTTTATGATGGGAAGGTTCCAAATGTTATTTAAGATGAGGTGGGCTGTATATCGATGAGAGATCGCAATTGTTAGGATAACCAGTGAATAAATCTCTTCAACCAAGAAGAGAGCAACTTCCTATTCATACCTAGGTAGTTCAATACTGTCGAGTTGTCAAGCAGACCCACTCTCTTAGCCAAGCCCACTTATCCGTTCCATTTACATTTGGTCAGGCCTATTTTCCTTCCCTTTTTCATAACCCCATCATCAGCAATTGGTTGTTGTAATACAGTCCCTTATACACCTAGTCAAGTTATAAGCCCTTGTATCGCCGCGGTACAAAAGTAAGCGCTTTACACCAAAATGAGGAAAAGGAACAAGGGAGATCATCGGCACACAAGATACCCTAGAGCCGCAACATTGTGCTAAAGAAAATCACCGCCCTTCGCGAGAGATTTAAAACGAGAAATGAGAAAATTAACAGCAAGGCAAACGTTCGTTTCAGTTGTACTCGTCAAAAACAAATTTCGGCTAGAAAGTCTAACTCGAGAACGAAGAGATCACCAATCATTGGAAATCAAGGCAGCATAGAAAGTGACTATCTAATAAGAAAAACATTACTTTCCCAAACATCTAGAGGGGAAAAAAAAAGGAGATTGCTTGGTGAAAACAAACGATGATTAGGATTTTCTATTGGGTTGGTGGATTAGTTGAGAAGCAAACAGATGGAGACCCTGTTGGATGAAGACTGGCATGGCAACTAGAAAATCTTGATGGAAAAGAGCTCTTTTTTTTTTTTTTTTGGAAAATCAGATAGGCTTGGGGAAGTGTTGAGTGGTCAGGTAGACCCATTCTCTTATCCAAGCCTGCTTATCCGTTCCATTGCTCCTAGTCAAGCATATCTCCCTTCGCTTTTCCATGGATCAACATCACCATCTGGTCATTGTAATACAACCCTTGCATATCTATTCAAGTGTCAAGCTCGACAACACAGTAACACAAAGAAGCATATTCACTAGTACTTCGCCTATATCGCTAAGCGGCATCTATATACAAGGTTGTGCATATATTCCACCCAGGGTTCGGACATATCATCCCTTCAAGACGATGCCAGCCAGTTCCCCGCGACAAATACATTTTCCTGTACCGGACTAGTTCTTGCCAGTATATATGTCTTCACCAGCCAAGATCATCAAGCTGGGCTGAATTCACTGCATTTACGACAAATATCATATTTCTATCAAGGCAGGTTTAACCATTCGTCAGTAAGCTCAATCACCAATCCCCGTGGGGGAAAATATGACCGATATTCCCCTCGCGATGGACCGAGACCCCCGCATCGATTAGAAATGCTTACTATTGCCGATGAGCCGATGAATATAGGCACCTCTGTGCTCTTCGACTCAATTTACGATTACATGTGAACGAAAAGCCATCCTTGAAGCTAACTAGCTTTCTCGTATTCACCAAAATAGCAACAGCGATGCTTGCGACTCAAGATATCGTGTTTTTATATGTCAACATGATTCTGACTACCATCGGGGCTTTGCCATATTACCGACCTGGAGCCTTTGTTACATCCGTCGGCATTGACCACGATTCGGTCTCATCTTCACACCCGCAATCATCCAGACTTCTGCGCCCGCAAATATGGAACTAACGGCTACCTAATCAACCATGCTTAGTGTTGAACAGTAAGACTGAATACTTGGTGTTATCCAGCCTTGGTAGCACGCACCAAGATATAGAAGACGATAAATATTGAGATTGCCAACCCTATAAAGCCATCAATACACTCAGAGCTTAGCTTGCGCAGATATATTTCCCTGGTACGTAGCGTGGGCACTTATGGCTCATTCGATAGAGGCATCGACAATCACGGAGAACATCGACAGCGGCCTTATTTTTCTTTGCACTTTCCAAATTAATTGTACTTCTTAAGCCAGGAAATATCTTGACTAAATTGATCTGACTACCAGTTATAATCCGCTTTTGTCTGGTCATAATCCATATGGCATCTTTGTCATCTAGCAGCCTATCTGTAAATTCCTTCAAGCGCCACCTCAATGTAATCATTACATTGGGTATCTATATACACTTATGGCCAAACATATGTTAGTTGATGCGCTAAAGTAGTCAAAATCGAGCTTATCCAAGTTGAAAGAACTGTATTTGGATAACAAACCTATAAAAAGAACAGACGCCCAGCAGCATTACAATACATCAAAGTTCAGCGAAAAACCCACATGGTTGAATGGTGGTGTATTAGTCTAACATAAACACATATTTGCTTCCATAGTCTGGTAAAAACATTTCCCATTATCCATTTCTTGAAGTAAAAATATTCGACATACCTAGTTTAATGTTAGGGTAAGTAGAAAAACGTCAACAACTGGAATGCAGCAGCTTCAGTGTGATAGCAAAAATAGCCCATGGAAATACTCCAAGTGCTATAAAAGTATTTGAACACAAATACTCAAAATAGATAGCTTTAGATAATTTAATTAATACATATCGAAGGCTAAATTGGTGAATCCCCTTACAATCTGTGAATTTGAAAGAAGTACTCCTCAGCCCTTCATTGAAAGCCAATCAGTAATATTGTATTCAACACTTGAACGCTGCAAAGAGCCCATTCAGCAATATAGCCTTGAGCGGCGAGCTTCATCGAGCCCATCAAGACAATGTGACAAATAATTCCAGCTGCAATTCCCCTTCCCGCTCTTCCCAGTAATCGAAGCGCAAAGTATGCCCCAGGGAAGAACAAAAGCCATGTTGTTACAAGGCCTGGGTTATAGGTCATTCCATCCAGTAATGATGGTATTACGTGCGTTAATCCGTTTATGAAAGCAAATCCGTAAAAGCTCCTGGCTACGTTGATTCTCGTGCGGGCGAAGATCGCAGTAACCCACACTGTTGTACTGTTGACAAAGAGTATGACCAGTGGCGTTAACGGACACTCTTCGATGTTATCGAAGCCCTGATTTGTGGAGATACAGTTGTAAGTATGCGTTTCCGGGCCCATGGAGGGCTAAAGTATGAAAGAGAAAAGAGGTAAAGGGGATCTCACAAGATGATCGTAAAAATGAGACCGAAACGCGTATCGTCTCCCCATGAAGTCATAACCATGCTCTTCGAATTGATGCAATAAGTACATAGGCAACGCAGCCTTCATCCACCACGACTGATCGTTTATTAATGACTTCCATAGAGATTGACGCCTTGTATGAGCACCCAGAGATTCTTGTTGTTTGCAGAGCTCCAGAATTACAGGAATTCCTGCAAGCAAGCTGATAAATGGCCAAGTTAACAGAAGATCCATCGCACAGTTAATAAGAAACTAAACAACTGTATTGAGCACAGCATGGAGTTTAAAAAAAAGCAATTGGTCATTCCATGACAGGGCCTTATATATGTCGCCCGAGTGAGATTTATGGCTATGAGGTAGATAGGTAGTGAAGGACCAAGTTTAAAGTTTACTCAGCACTAGATGAATGTTATTTTGTATTTCGGTCCACGCTATCGCAAGAGGAACTCATACGCGAGTCCAAGAAATTACATTGCGCGGCACAGCATTAACGATAACTAATCCCGACAAAAGCTAAAAACTCCCGACTGATGGTTTCGGTAACGTCTCTTTTCCAAGTCATATGGGAAGAGGTGTTTGTCCACTTTCGACCGATTTCAGGCGAGGATACCTAAGGTATGTGTCCTATGTACCTGGGCGTCATACTTTAGGGCGCTCCAAGTAATCCGATTCGAGTTTGTGCGAACATAATCCTTTGCATGCAACGGCATTTTGGCTCGTACCTGCATCGTCGCATATTCTAACAAATTATGGCAAGGTGTTCGCTGGATTATTAAACATATCATTTACGATGCTTGTATCATAAACCTAGCGCGATTATCCATTTGTGCCATGTTCTCAAGCTAAGGACTACTCTCTAGCTTGCAACAGTGAATATAATTAGATTTGCGCATCTCATTCCTACCAACATAGACCAGTTAATCGCTTAAGAGGCTCATGCTAATGCAGCTGTATATTTCACGCTCATACCAAATATACTTCATGAATTGAAGACAAAAAAACAGCTACTTATAAACAGCCAAAACTTCTGACAACCAGGCGCCTTTCGATTCTCCATGTCAGGAGCCACTGAGAGGAAAATTGGCGTTCAAAGATATCTGCGCATTTGAAACATCAGCGGCTTTCCATATATACAGAATACCCAATTCCTAGAATATCTTTGCGATCAAAGTATTCAGGCCTTTAATACCTGCACGAGCATCGCTGTTAGCAGCCGGAACACAGAAACACAGTGAGAAACTCCAGACACTTGTAAAGGGTTAATTACTCTGTTTTCTTCAAGTGGACATGATGACGTCAATTAGTTGGTGTACAAGTATCACTCGCAATGGAAAGGCTGGCTATAACGCAAACATCTTTTTTCTTTCCATGAGAGTGAAGGAGAGTGAGGGAGCTTTCTAATTTGTGCATACAGTGCAAATAAACGAACATGTGGCATCTTTTTCAAGCTGTGTTAGTTGTGTTAGCTGCAGTAGTTCGCACAAGTCACGCGATAGCAGTCTTATTTTGATACTACGTTTAATAATAGTGAATAGTTAAGTAGATACCATTACTCCAAGCATTATTGTTGGCGGCATTGCATTACACTAACCCATTAGTCAAGGCCATTGATGTAATTGTGCTTCGAGAGGTACTAAGAATAGGAATGTATAAAGTAACAAAATCGTCATATCAATACATCCCAGTAGCTCCAGAATAAAGCATATGTTAAAAAATTGAAAGGCCATAATGAGATTCATTAGGACCTTATGACTTTCGGCGATAGTGCGGGTAACACAGCGATAAAAGGCCGCAAACCAGCTGCTTCCCCTCTTCTCTCGATACAGTAACGGAATAATTATGGTTGAAGTAGTAAAATATACGCAACTATTAATCCCCTAGTAGTGATTCCTATCTATTCTCGTTACTTTATTGGAACTCAGTAAAATGGACAAGCCACGTCCGCCCTCAGTCTTGGCTCCATCAGAGATCGTCCCAGCGATGAAGATGATCATTTCCAAATTTCACCATATGCAGGAAAATATAATCAATACAGTCACTCAGTCTTCTGCCTGTTTTGCTAACGTATTCCAACCATGGGCAGAGGTCGCAGATGAGACGCAGGGTCAACTCGGAATGATATGGCTACTTAGCTATGCTGCACCCGATCAAGAGACACATGATGCAGTGGACGCAGCAGGCAGGCTGTACAATAATGCTGTTACCACTTGGACCAGCCGAACAGATCTCTTTGCACTTTTGCGAGCGGCCGCTGATAAAGACGAAAAATTGGATCCAGAATCAAGGCTTTGGATCCAGTCAAAGCTACGCGATTTTATTTCTGCTGGCCATGGCTTGGCCGATGAGAGGAGCATCAAGCAATATCTGAGCAAAAGATCTGTGATTGACCAATTACGAAAGCAGTATAATAATAACTTGAGAAACAATAGCGCTGGCTTGTGGATTGACGAAGCGGATCTGATCGGCGTCTCAGAATCTGATATAAAGAGCTGGACCGTGGGGAGTGATGAAAACGAAGGCAAGCGATTTGTTCCTTTTGCAAACGGTGGCTATAAAACAATCATAGCTCGAGCCCATAAAGCAGAAACGCGCAAAAAAATGTATTTGGCAGAGGAGGCAAAAGTTCCAGCCAACGTGGACATTCTTCGAAGCATCATTAGCATGCGAGATTCTCAAGCGAGGCTGCTGGGATATGACAATCATGGGTCTTTCCGTATCCAGAATCGTGCCATCAAATCAATAGAATATGTGCAGAAATTTCTCGAACAACTGAAGCGATCGCTAGTCCCACATGGAAGAGAGGAACTACAGGCTTTGCGGCAAGTCCGTGATGAGCATCGTCTTCTGATGGAGAACGATGCAAATGACGATGGTTTCACCGACAATGATCGGTTCTATCCCTGGGACCTTGAATACTACAAGCACATTCACAGCTTGCGGTCGTCAATTGACGACACAGAAATATCGCAGTTCTTTCCCTTGGAGCACACTGTTTTAGCAATGTTGCGGCTTTTTGAGTCCTTTCTTAGTCTCAAATTCACACAGATTCCCTCAGATCTCTTAGATCCAGCTTGCATATGGCACGAAGATGTCCAAGTTTGGGAAGCCTGGGATGATAAAGAAAGTAGGTTTATTGGATTCCTCTATCTCGATATCCTGTGGCGCGAAAAAAAGTACAAGGGTTCGCAAAATGTTAATATTGAAAGTGTAAGTAAAGATTTTAACGTAGCTAAGCGTTCTCTGACAGCTAACATCGATTTTAGGGATATTTGAAACCAGACGGAACTCGAAACTTCCCGGCTACGGTGCTTATGTGTAGCTTTCCACGCTCAAATGAGTCCAATTGCGTGCTACTAAAACACCAAGAGGTGGTAACATTATTTCATGGTATGATGTTACACCAGAGATTTAATCATGAGACATCAGAGAGTAACATGCTGTATATCTAGAACTCGGCCACGGAATGCACGACCTAATCTCTCGTACAAAATTCTCACGATTTCATGGCACTCAACTTCCCGTGGATTTCGGAGAGATGCCAAGTACATTATTGGAGAATTGGTGCTGGGATCGCGAGATTTTGAAGTATCTCAGCTGCCATTATACGCTTCTCGACGAACAGTACCTATCTGAGTGGCATGAAAAGTATCCTGAAGCACCAGATCCACCTGCTCAGATACCAGATGATCTAGTTGAATCAATCGTCAAGTCCAGAAAAACACATCGTGGTCTCAGGCTGTTGCACATTCTGTGAGTCTTTTGTTCATTTATACACTGCAACTATTCAATGTACATATCTCTAATCTTACAGGGTTGTTTCACTTTTTGATCTCAAAATCCACACTCCTCAAACGCACGAAGAGATAGAACAAGTCGACTTGGGAAAGCTCTGGTATGACCTGCGAGAAGAGATCGAAGGCTTAGATATGATTTGTTCACGGGCCATTGGCCATGAACACGCGACATTCGGCCACCTCGTGAGCGGATATGATATGGGATACTATGGCTATCTAAGGTAAGATTTTTTCCTCAGCTCTATTCTTGATGAGTCGTTACTGTGGAAATTGACACAACTACTATTGCCAGCTGCCTAGCATACGCCCAAGATGTTTTTCAAGAAAACTTTGCAAAAGATCTACACAGCCGAGACGCATGGGATCGTTTCCGTTACGGAGTTTTGGAATACGGGGGAAGTCATTCAGATCAGCTCCAAATGCTTCAAGAGTATTTAGGACGAGAGCCAAACTATAGCGCTTTACAAGAAAGCTTATTGCTATGACGCGCTTATAAAACCTCAATATCATGTCCAGATTCTGTTATGGAACGATGCGGAAAAGAATCAGAAAAAAAGGCAAGCATTGAAAGCGTCTCAATGGAGGAGGCCGTATCGCTGTGATTGCTCAGGCTGCAATGTTTGCTATTTGGTTTGTACAGCCGGTCCCAGATACTATTGCGTACCGGGTGCTACGCACTCAGATCTTCATGGTCGCGTAACCGAAGCAACAGTAAAAACGACACTGAAAAAGAGAAAGCTCAAAGAATGCAGTAACGGTAGGTAAATCACTTTCAGGATGCGAAATATGATCAGCATCGTAGCTCTATATGGAAGCATTTTGGAATGGGTATGGGTAGTCAGTTGAGCTCTGGTAACATATGTATACGCGCTGCTAAGAGAAACGAATGTAGATCAATCAAATCATTATTCGCTCTAGAAAGGATACGACTCAGTCCATAGCGCACCATGAACGGCAGTGCTCATCAAAGCTAGCTGCTTTACTTCTACTACCTACCTATCTAAGCCATGTAGCCGATGCATTCGTATATAGTCTCGTATCCGATAGGATAGCGAAACAACACTTCTGCGAAAATTTTCAGTTGCAGAGTGTGTCAGCACAGCGGGACACGGGATATCAGAAGGCCGTTCTTTCCACAAGCGAGATGCTCCACTAGGTGCCGAGGCATGCCAGAGGTTTCATCGAGGGTAAGAATCAGTGAACTTTCGACCTATACGTCAAGATGCTTTATGTAAGTAAGATTATCAAAATCTGTCCCAGGAGTTCGGGCAATGATGTAACGAGCAGGTTGCATCACCAAATTAGACGAACAAAGCCCACGTCGGTCCATTTTTTCGACCTCTTTAGGGATTATTATTGCAAATAGGGCAGTTACGGGATAACTATTCGCAGCAGCAGTATCAGGTAACTGTCACTAATACGCAGCGTTATCTTGAACGTGGAGACGCAGCACTGCATAGGGCTGACGGTCGCCCGTCTGATCAGTATCGTTACATAACGGCTAGACGCTAATGAGAGCCGCACAAAGTCGTCCGTAGTTGTATATTGTCCGGCCGGAAATAGCACAGGATCGGCGGGTTGCAGACGGTCTCACATCTCACACTTCATTTGACAAACTCAACTCAGGTGAATCTCACGCGTTATAAGACTTGCTGATTGCGGCCAGCGCGCGGGTTAGCCCATTTTGAAGAGCCAAATTTGGCAAGTCGGTAACTATATCCGCTTTCTCAGCTCTTGAGTTCCCTATTCAAAAACAGGTCATATCTGAGAAAGGCTACTGCTATTATCTTAACGTACTTAGGAGGAAATGTCACGCATTTTGCTCAGAGAGCACAGTTCGAGCTAATAATTAAGAGCAAAGGAAAGAAAAAGGATGCCCACTCATGGAGCGGCAATTTTAGTGATCTGCCCACAAATAACCGTCCCGTCGGCGGAGTGTGTTCTATTTGGAATAGTATCGGTTTTCAGTAAGCAGCTTAAAAAAAGGAAAAATAAGAGCGCTTTTACAGTAATAGTCAAGTCTAATCATGACGTTTGTACTTTTCAAAGGCCAGATGCTTTACTTTGGAGGGGAGTTTTAGGTATAGAAATTTCTCCATCGTGGCCTATCCACGAAGTTCTAAGAACAGTTAAGATTCTGCACGTATCACTGTCGAGCAAGTACATTTCGTGTTTTCTTAGCCGCTTCAGCCGAATAGGTATTCTTGGAGAATGATAAACTTAGACCTATCTATATTCGCTGCGGAGATCGCAGATCCCTTTAGCAAACGGTTACCGCTACAAGTACATTGTTACAGCCCCAAGTATATTCCACCTGCTGCATGCAAGGCTTTCGCCTTTGTCATGTCCTTACAGGAGAACAGCCCGGTCTCAATACCTGATAGTGGGCCGTCTGCGAGTTACGACTGAGGCTGCCGCCGCAGGTGAATATTTCCGCCACCCAGCAAGCACTGGATGCCTGCAGCAACGGCCTCGCCAACACACAACCTTGTATCAATTATACGCATACTCACACCCTTCCCAAGATCACGACTGTGGGGGCATTTCACGGAGCATGCAGCCCGTGCCCTAGAATAGGCATAGTGCCTATGGACTTCATAATCACATGGCTGAGTTGGGAGATACCGAGAGCCAGTTTTCGCTGACCGAATTGGATCCCGCAGATTTTGGGGGCACAGAGAAGGGTGGAGGGATATTGCCTAGCAGTGAAGAAGGATTACAAAGTACAGCAGTCTCTAACGGAATCTTCCCGTGACTCAACCAACATGTGCAAGCGGGCCAGTAGAAACGACGCAAAGACGAAAGGAGGCGGAGAAGAGGCGTGGGCAAGGAGGATCGTCCTTTAGGCCGTAATTCTTGGTTGGCACAGAACTATCTAATACCTACTCGGTCCAAGCTACACCCTATGAGTCTTCATCTGAACTCCAGTAGCCCATCCCTTTCACAGGATCGCCACATAGCACGATTTACGGAGTAATTTATAACCTGCCCACGGAGTATTACAGCTTACGAAAACTAGGATTCAACTAAACACCCCATAAGCGACAAGCGAACCAAGGGTGGCTTACGGGAAGATGCTGGTTCGGGGGTCTTTATACCGCCGAGAGCCTTGTTTAAATATGTTGACCCCAGAATATTAGAATGGGATATTATTTTTTATCGTTTATAATCAGAGCAAATGATGACGCATTATTACAATAGGAATAACAAATGGCAGTAAGACTACTATTCGTGCAAAATTATCCCACCGTTGATCGTGCACGGCCACTATCACTCTGCCATGGAACTCACCTGCACATGAGCGTTTAAGTCAACATGGTGACTATTTCCGATATAGCTGTCTCCTAGATAATTGATACAAATCTCTAAATGCATGTTAAAAATGTTGACCAATTGTGCATCTCCTGTTATTTTAACATCCATCTTCAAACATGTATATGCCACGTGACAGGCGTTAGAAGTTATAATGCGGGCTTTATTTGTTGTGCTGAAGTACCTCAATATCCCTATTTAGTCTCAGGAAAATAATATACTGCAAATTAGACGGAGTTTTATGTCATTGAATAACATCCTATCCGGCTTGTAAGAATAGACAAACATTGTTCCTTTTTTGAGACCAAGAAAGCTTTCAAGAGGGGGAAAACCCCCTTTACGCAAGCTATGAAGAGAGAAACACATAAGATTAAGATTTAGTATAATCTCTTATTGGCAATATTTTTGTAAATATGTATGTGGAAAAAGTGATCGTCAAATTACTATTTACTTCTTTCTTCGGCGACAGGTCGCCATACTACACCAAGTCATCGAACCTTTTTTCCGACTTTTTACCAAATCTTGGCGGTGGGGTAAGAAGCGCTTTAGTCTGTCATACAATCTTCTATGATAGTAACTTTGGAGATTGTTGTCTAAAGAGATTTACGAGAGTTGCCAGTTTTCGCGTAGCCCACCAAATCGGTCTTCACTGTGGCTCCTCAACATAGCTACAGGGTGTTATACAAACCCGTTCGACTTCATGTAAACCTCTTTGCGGAAGGTATTCTCGTAACCGAGTGAAACATGACAAAATAAAGCTTGGTCAGATGATATAGAAGGATAATTACAGTGACCAGTATGTGTAGGATGCCAAACAATGTATGAGTTTGAGCGTCTATCCTCAGCGCTATATATCTCTGTTGAGGATTGAGTAAGCTTAAAGCCTAGGAATTATACGCGCAAAGGTATCCTGGATACAAGAAAGTCGAAAGACTATCCAAATAACCAAAGTTAGCAGCTTGAGGCGTGCTCGTTTATTTGGTGGACTCAAGTTGCAAGCGCGCATTGGCGAGTGGTGGCGAGGGACGTTGGGATGTGGCAAAACCTGAAGGCAGCCAAGTTGTTATCAATGCAAATGGACATACTCATCCTCGCTAGTTGAGTTGCAAGAATCATGAAGTTATCTATAACATAGGCGGAGAATGGGAAAACATTTATGTATATACAGTTTACCGGCGCAGGATGGATTGACTCTATACTTGCTCAGTGATTGTATATGAAGTTGCAAAGATATTTGCCACAGGTTATTCTGCCCAAAATTGCACTTGTTTCAAGCATTCAACTGGTAGAGAGAATAATAAATGTCTCATGGTTCCTGCTATTGTGGTATGTTTGCTGTGGTGTCTTTTACTGATGAGGCGGTCTCAAACATACATATAGCCGGCATAGCAAACTTCGGTCGCATCATCGCCCAACACAGAGGTACTTGCAATCGATGGCATGATCATTTACAATGTTGGTTGCCTGTTACAAAAGGTAGAAGCCTCGCCAGGCCAGAGTTTTGGAACATGGCAGTAATTGACTGTATATCTGACCATTTGCAAAAGAATACACAGTGGAACTACTGTTAGCTAGAACATAAGACAGCTACATAGATACACCAGAAACTCGAAGTATGAGAGCAACCCAAAAGACAGCCGAAAAGATATATACACCACATCTACAGAGTACATGACATGGAATTGCCACAACACCCAGATCCTGCTCACTGTCGTTAATACGCCCATGCTCACTTCCACAGGTTGGAGCGATTTCATCCTACTTTTTAAAGCATATACCAGCCTGATTAATAACTTGCTTTCATCTGATGTTTGTTTGAAGCAAGCCGCGCAAACTTTCATTGGTAGAAATACTAATCATCCGCCCGACTTCTATAGACGTTGGCCCGGGCGGAGAACAATAGTCTATCACATTCACTCCATGCTCACGCTCAACTGTAAACATATTCCCTCCGTTCATCCCAGCGAAACCCAAGATTGTCGCACATGATGTTTGTGTCTTTACATAGACATGCACCGATCGACCAACCACTGGTTGCCACCACGACTACCGCACATCTTCGCCAACCTTGGTTGTGGATTCTGATGAAAATCCCTCCACTACTTACCACAATCAGGCAAGTAGCTGCCAAAGATAGCTAGGTATTGAAACACGGAACGCTTTATATGCAAAGACTCAAAGTCGAAGTCTTTCTGCAAGTTGCGCAGGAATACGGCACTCGTTTGCTCGTATACGAACCAGTATGGGGTGCATGTACAGTAATATGGAGTAAGTAATAGGGCATGCATGCACACGTCAATCTGCATCTACAAGGATCTCTGCATGACGCTTCCATTCTTACCGCCATGTCAAAAGCGAAAGCCATCTGGATAGCTGTTTTTGGCAGCCCGCTTGCTGCGTCCAACTTGAAACTAACCCCAAGCGAAGTTTGATGTCAATGCCGACTTCTTCTTTGGCAAAAATTTTCTTTCCCTCTTTGCCGGACAGTATGACTCGTTGGGGCCTTTGCGCCGTATTAGTATACACACACCTGATTACGGAAGCTCTCTCTCTTCTGAACAAGGTTGGCTCCTTGGGCTGTTGAACCAGCCGTACATTACTCCCAGCAATAGGGCTGGCTGCCGCCCATGCGAGCTTTGAACATCCTACGTTTCTTCGAAGAAACTTCCCGTCGGCAAGTCGGATCGGCAAATTCGACTTTTCTGTGATAGTGTTCAATCCCCGTTAGTAATATGTAGAGAAAGCACGCCGCACGCTTAACAGGAAAATAAGTGATTTTTTGAGCCCATAATATTGCCGCTCCAGGCAAGCCGCTGGCAACATGTTAAATTTGGCCGTGTAAGATTGCCACTCGCCTGTGAATGCAGGCCCTATTTCTAGAGTATGCACTCCACTGTCGGAGGGTTTCCTTGTAAGGCGTACTGTTATATACGATCTCGGCTCTCAGAATGCAATTCTAGATTGATAGCAGCGACTATTCCAGAGCATCCCCTATGACAGACGACATTTTACTTTGTATACAGGCTTTTTAAAATGCTGGCGTATCAGCGATAGCACAAGACTCTCATCTCTGCACAACGGGAAGCTTAGAGAAAGAGGGTGAAAAGAATATACAGCACGCCGGGGTGCCAGACGCCGCGAGTCTTCCGCAAGTCTCCCGCAAGCCATTGTTCGGGCCGCTGGCGCATTCGGTCTGCTGCTTCTTGAAATACGACGCTATGTCCCCGGTCTCGGTCCAAAGCCGACGAGTTTTCAAGCAGTGCTACTTATTGCTGCTTCCAACACTGCCAATAGGGCTCGACAAAGTTCCTCTGCTTGCTATAACTGGGATTTCCACCCGCGCGCCGTCCCGTCGTCGTGGTGCTGAGACCCAAACGCAGCCAATGAGCCGGGATATGCCATCAGCGCCTCTGCAAAGGCGTCAACCACAGGTGGGCTTTGGAGGCTGTCACGAGGGAAAGGCAATCCGCAAAAAAACAAACCCATCAGGGTGCATACTATCAACGGCTCACCGATAAGAACTCGGCGTCTATCCACTACTGCCTTGTTGCGGCTTGGTGGCGTGTGGCCGTCGATTAGGCCGGGAGGATAGAATCCCTCCCCCAGGACGTTGTCCGCACGACCGACGCTAGAGGCTTGGAAATCTTCAGTAGTTACATGATGGCGATAGGTACAGAGGGAGCGAGGCAGAAGAGAGAGAGACAGGCTTGACAGCTTAGCCGTTTCTTCTTTGCCTCACACGCAGGCTATTGGCCGAGTCTCTGGAGCTGTCCTGTCAACAAGTGGAGAGCAGCTCTGCTCGGTCGTAAGATTCGGCCGCTACCAGGGGCTAAGCACCTTTAGTATCGACAAGGGAAATGCTCTTGTTTGCCTGAGCGAAATAGCGGTGCGAGGCCCGTTCGCAGCGGAATCGCGTCTTTGTTTCATTCCGTGCAGCGGCGGAACTGTCATCATCCTGGAAATATCTACAGCTTGGGGCAGAAACAGAAGCCAGTGCTTCGTGCAAGTGACATTTGTTCATGCGCGTCATGTCATGTACAAGTATACGCCCATCTCCGTGTTCATGCAACAAGGCCATGAGAAAAAACAGGCTGTTCGCAGCAGAGGACCGGGCGAGAACCGCTGCTACAGACTCTGCGTCCTTGGAACGTCAGGGCCCTGCGTTCTGCCCCCCAGAAAATCACTCTCGGCCCTTGCAACCAACCAGCTGTGCATCCTGGAAAATCCCAGAGACGAGCAGTCGGTGACGCCAGTGATTGGCTCGAGCCGCAATTACACGTACTGTAGACGCAATGCTGTGGCCGACTTGCACCCCTAGCTGGGTCTCGTGCCTGGATGGGCGACAGCCCCCTTGGGGATCTTCAATGTCAATCTTTCAATATTCTGTAGTCACAAGCTTCGGATTGTTCCGCATCTGAAAGGACACCGACCTCACTCTTGTAACGAGTACTAATGAAATTCTGCGGGCTCTTTCATTTGTTCCATACAGATTCTTTTCAATGGGGCCGGGCTAAGGGAGGGAGCCACCAGTTTCCGGCACAGGACATCCATGCCGGTTACGGCAATATCAAAGTGGGAAAAGATGATGACTGCAGCTACCTGAGTACCTGTCTTGTCTGCCTATGATGCCATTGATATCGGCGCCATTAGCTGCTGTTGACTTTGGAGTCAGACGGTCCGTGACCACGACCAGTAATATGAAACATGCGGCGGCGACAGTGACGACTCTCAGCACGATTGCATGAATCTGTATAGCCACAAGCATGAGACCCTTTGAGACAATGCGGCGTGGAGAATACTTTAGCTCGAGACGCGATACTGAGTCCCAGGCCATCGGGCGAGCCGCAAGCTGTCAACAGATGAGCTCAACTACTCATTCACTATGTCATTGAGGGGGCTTTAGAACGCGACGAAGGGAGCGGTCCGAAGGGAATGATTGGGTACCAAGGGGTAGAGGCTAAGTTGCTGGTGATTAACGGTGTCGAAAAAAGAAGACTATGTGGGGATGTGTCAAAGCTCCTTCGAAGATTTTTTCTGCTTCTAGCTTTCTTTTCTGTTTTGCCCTTCAATGCTGGCGGAAATACAGGGGGTGGACATGTCAAATTCGCGATTCAGAGTTTGTTGTGACCTCGTATCCTGTTTTGCAGTTCTGTTTAGGGCAGTTGATTTGTCTCTTGTCTACATGTGCTTTCGACCGGAATTAGCTGTCAACTAACGGCGTGCCAAAGGGCCCCAGGACATTCTGTCCTAATCTTACCGCTACCGTTACGAGCCGTGCCATGTGGCGCGCCACTGAGACATTCGCCGTCCAAACGAGAGAAAAACGTGGTGAAGAACATCTCCATCTCTTTAGCGGAATCGTTAATGAAGCTACTGCGGCCTTGCCGGCGTCCATGCGGCGGCGAACTTTGCTGGTTCCTGCATTTGGAAGGCAGGCTAACTAACAAGCACAGACAGCTGAACTGTGTCATGACACTTCTTTGGTGTCTCCCATCACAGGCCGTCCGTTCATTGCGAAAATATGGAGTCTTTTGCTTGAGGTTGAGCGTGTCTGGTGGTTTCCGAGACACACGCCCTCTTCTCCACCGCCGGTGAATTCGGTACAGTAGTTCCCCGAGCGTGTACTTGACTTGTATGGAGAGAGAGAGGGACACGACCATCCATACTCGTTCTTTGACCGGCGATGGAGACCGAATATCTTCCAGGGATCATGGGGGCAGTAACTGCTACATACGGCTATATGAGAAAAATTTGACAGAACACCATCTCGATATGCTCGCTGCATGCCACCTTGCGGCTGTGCTTATTATGGCGCCTCCTTAAGCCAGAGACCCCTGCTTAGGGGACTTGCTCGCCAAGTCGTGGAGATGTCAATCTATGGAAACGTCTGTATGAGCTTGAGACCCTGGGCAAAGGTAAGTACGCGCTGCTGAGTATACTGCTGCTGCTATTCTTTAATATTGCTTGGTAGTATATAGGCACTTTTACGTTTTCACAATAGCTGTCGGACCAGTGAGCTCCGTAACACGTCCTGGGCAGGGGTGTAACAGAGTCGAGGCCAACTGGAAGGGCAATTCGGCACCGGGTTTTCTCGTTTCGGGCTTGAACCGATGGATAGATTCGAGGCCATTTCCAGCCACTCTTAAGCGCTCCCACCGATTTGGTAGCCCGTCCAATTTGCCGGGGGGTGTGGCCTCTCTTGCGTTCTAAAGCAGCCAGTACTGTACGAAGGCACCACTCCGTAGTATCGAAACCCACGACGTCTCCCACCAAGTGGGCTGGGCGGGTTTGGCGAAGGCTTCCAGAAGGCTTCCAAGGGATCACTCGTTCTGTCCATGGCGGGTCCTTGTTCTGCCGCCATTTCGTCTCCCGCCGTTTCGAATGGGCCGCAATAGTGGCTGCTCGTATTCTACCTACAAATCCACTCGCAGTCTCTGCCTAGAAGTTTGCCGAAGAGTCAAGGTGGCCGTCGTGATCCTGCAGTTTTCAGCGGTTTTGGCTCGGGCATGCTTGTGTTATACAGCTACACAAGGACTCTCTGTTGGAGTGTGTAATCTCGAGCGTGCACAATCTGAAATAAAAATTGCTTCCAAGAGTAGCCGCGCTGGGGTTGGCTCATAAGAAGCTTTGGCGCGAGCATGGTTCCCAACTCTGGCCCCCCCCCAGCTCGAAAAGCGGCAGCAATGGCACACCATTTTGCAAGAGCTTTGAAATCTCCAGAGGCTGCAGCCATTAACGGCGGACAAAAGCAAGTCATGACACCAAGTTGTGTACCCGCCTTTGATGTCCCAAGGATCCTGCGCTTGCAAGGACCCATGACTCTGCGCAAATAAAAAAAAAAACCCCTACTGGACGCTGGTGATGTTTGCTTTGGTCTTCGTCTTCACCTTCTCGGCTTACCACTTTGGCTTGTTCTTGGCGAAATCGTAGCGCTGTTTATCTGGCAGCCTGATGAGATGGAAACGTTTAAAAATAAATGGTGATAGAAAGCAGGAAAATAGAAACGTTATAGGTATGGAGCATCACTTGGCAGCCACGAGACGGACCGGAATGAGTCCAGCCAGCGCGGGATGGAGGGCAGAAGCTGCCACCAAACAAAGTGAGTGACCAGGTTCAGTACCAAGGTCCCCAATATTTGTGGGCTTTTGGACTGTTTGCTGCTCCAAGACACAATACAACCACGTGGGTTCTTTGGGCTTGCCAATGTCAGCAGCACGCCTTTTGGTATTTTCATCTTTCACCGGTCTCAACTTTTATGCATGTATGTTCTGGCTAGCTGCATGGCTTTAGCGGGCCAGTGTGCCAATGGACGATGTCCAGTGTCGTACTTGACGCCGATGCTGGCGATGAGATGATGGAGGAGTGCTGCATGGCTACGGAGCATTGCTGGTGAGGCTTATGATGTGATGTGACGCCGCTCAACTACATGGGCATCCGAGCTTATTGGAGTCTGGAGCTCGCAAAAAAGAAGAACTCAACGCAGTCGCATATAGTGGCGCTCAAAAGTCTCTCTTTCTCCTCACTCCGCCATCCGCCCTAGAGCGCAGAAGCTTCAAGTCGGTGCTTGATCTAGCGCGGATTGGCTGAACTGGAGAGAATGCGTTCCAGGGTATTCCCTACCAGCTCCCACGGATATTTGCCTCCAGACAGCTGGATGATCGCTAAAAGAGGCCACGGAGAGGGGAAATGTTATTCGTCATAAACCCGTTGGTAGCACGCTGTAACGGCCTATCGTGTTCCTCCTCTTGCTTGTCTCATGACCACAAACGAGCAATCATCCCATTCGCATAACCGCTCCCTGCGAGGCAGCACAGCCCGTGATTTCAACAAGATCCTCGCAACTCTGGGATATTTTCCCGTACCGACGGCGTGGATTGGTCCCATCGGAGGACATCCCCTGCCCAGCCAAGAGAGGGGGGTAAAGAACCAAGACTGATGAATCAAGACATGGACTGGACAAGAGCCCCATGCCGTGTCTTTTGAATCGCCGCAACTAGTAAAAGTCCTACGGACAAGACGGCACATCTCAGTCTGCTCTGCAGGTGCCGCGAGCGATTAAAGCTGAGACGGCGGTGAGGACAAACAGGCTGGATGGATGGAAGGGATGGATGGGATGGGATGGAACGGCTTGAAAGGACTGCCTCGAGTAATCGATAGCAGCAGCTAAACTGACGGAGTGCAGTCGTAGTGCTGCAGCATTCCGCGTTGCTAAGACTTGGAGGGCAAAGACAGCGGCGCACCGTCCCCTCCTCAACTACAAGCGCCTTGTTAGTCGGTAACACAGGCAACTTTATGAGGCAGCGAGCAGCACCAAGCATGGAACAGGTATTTACACGAGTAATTCCCCAGTGCTAACAGCTGCTTCCTAGCTTCCGTGCTGTTTACTGTAGAGCCCCAAACGCCACCATACGCTTCTCATATACGCTCCAGCGAACGAGAGTTGAGCCACGACCGCCTGCAAGACGGCAGACCAGGGTCGCTATGCAACTATCGAGTCCTGTCGGACTGTCTGAGCGCACCGGCGACTGACAGAGCGACTCTTCTCGTGGATTCTTGCCCATTTTGCAACCACCCTGCAAATATCCACACACCCCCACTCGCTGAAGCCCTCGTGGCACCCCCCTTCTCCAAGCTGTAGCACCATATTTGGTACCTGTGGAGGTACCAGCGGTAACTCGTAATAACGCTCTCCTCTCATTCTCTCGGCGTTCAGCCAAGCTCGCCCTCATACACACCCAGCGCCAAACACAGCGCACCCCTCCCCCCCGACGTCAGGGCAAAGACCCATGAATGGCGAGACTTTGGTGGGCAAACAACTTTTTTTTTTCAGATGGCTCAAGCTTGGGTAACTCAGGCCAGGGTTAGAGTGGCCAGAGGGGTGCACGCCTGGGCAATAACCCTCCGGCGGTACCTCACGCCTCGCTGATTCTGGAGGTGGAAACAGCCTTTGAGGGCGGGTCAACCACTACTTTTTTTTCTCTTTACATCGATGTCTTGTCATGGGAGTCCCGGAGACCTGGTCAGTCAAAAGCGTCCCTTGTTTGACGGCTAAGTCATCCAGGTATAAACGTTGGCGTCCCCCCGCCGCCTGCAAGCCGCTGCATTGGGGTGCTTCACTCACGACAACAACTGCTAATACGTCTCCATCAACCTTTTTTGGTCTTGCTTCGATCTGTGTTTACTTGACCTCATCCAATCTTTTCTCAATATTCACAACTGGTCGACTGCCTGGGGACGATTACGACATATCCACCACCACCCGAGACGCATCTCCCTCCAATCTTTTTACCACACCTCAGATATCATCAGCAACAATGTGCAACTACATCTACGTACGACTGCCCGCCCTCTTTTCTTCTGCTCGATTTTGTCCGAACTCGAAGCTGGAAATTCATGTGCCATTGCTAACACAAGTCTGCCACTTACAGAAGGAACTCAAGTGCCAGCACCACTACCACCTGGTAGAATCATGGTGCCCCAAATATATCCAGACTGAGCGACGATGCGTTCCCACAATTGTGAGCAAACAGTACTGGTAAGTTTTGGGATACAATAGTCAATTCACATTACAAAGCTAACATGTTGACTGCAGGGGCGACGATATCTGTGGTATGCATCATGACTAACACCAAGATTCTCATGACTTGACTGGGCACTAACACTACTACCAACAGCTGCTTGCCGCGAACGCCAGACACCCAGCAACCACCCTTGGGCGAAGCTCATCCGTAGGCCAGACTCTCGATCGGTTCCCCAGGCGCGAGTTCCTGCCCGATAAATCACCACCGCCTACACGCCCAAGTCTACCAGTCTACAAACACACAACTCATTGATCACACATACTCTTGGGCTCTCTAAGCTCTATCCATTCAGAGCACATCATCAATTGGAACCTTATAAAATCCGGAAACAAAAAGCAAACAAACAACAAAGATACCATTGGATTGGGCGCCCGAACAACAATCGGACGTGACGGAATACGGCTATAGGAGGACATCTTTTTTTACTGTTATTGACTGGATGGAAATGGAAACCAAAAACGGGGCGCACACGTACACGCACACGATCGCACACGCAACCCCCTCAAACCAAAACACCAAAAAAAAGTTGCCATAATATGGACACAAGACGGCATGGGACAGGAAATGGCTTATACTCTCCCCCAGGTGCAAACCTGGTTCATTAGCCCATTTGTTTCGGAGTTTCGCTAAGCAGGCATTCTCCGCTGGGTTCTGTTTTTACTATCGTTTTTGCTTTTTCTTTGCTCATTTACATTTGGGACGGTTTCACAGGCGCAAAGTCAGTCGTTTTTGTATAACAACATTAGCTGCACTTTGCGTTGCTTTGCACTGCATTAGCCTCTTTTCATGGAAGAGGAGGGAGTTATTATCTGCTTGGGATTATTGGATATGGATCAATGCGCAATTCGAGCTGTGTTGTCTCAGCGGCTGGCCAAACAGCAAGCCACGGTATCACAAGGAGGTGGCCATGCCTCAGTGCCACCACACCGGTATGCAAAGACACGACCAAAAAAGGCTGGCCTCTGTTCCAAGGCAACACACCGAATACGGCATTTCACTGGTGGCGGCCAAGGGCCATAAAGGCCAAACATGGGGCCACCATCATCACGAGGTCTGTCCGCAGGAGGACAGGTCCTCTTTGGGAAGGGATTAGAAAAAGGGAACATTCAAAATGTATTGATAGATGGATATCTTTGGAAACATAAGCGGCGTCTTTTTTTTCTTTCTTTGCTAGGATATCTTTGTTTTATTTTTTGCGGGCAGCCCTTCCGGAAAGCTGGGACTGTGGCTGCGCTTGGCATTTTCCGGAGTATCATATAGTACCAATAGTCTGCGAAAGCGAATGGGACAAGTCATTTTTTGGTTATTCAGCAAACTCGCCTCCAGCTTGAGTCGTGAGGCTTTCCAGGGCAACAATAGCAGCTGGGGTGAATCAGGTACAAGCACTAAACCCAAAAACCACCTGTAATCCCGCCGCGATGAGTCTTTCGAAGCCCCATGTCTCGTCTTAGTCTGTCCGCCATGGCTGAGACAGGCGTCATCTGGACCAGCAAACATCCGTGCTTTTTCTCAGCCTCTTGGAAACGATACATTCTGGCGCTATGACTTCACCAGCTAAACTGCAAGTATACCTTGGCCTTTCTGTTCCCCTGAAAAGGTGGCGCGATCCTCTCATGTTGTTCAAATGCAATCCAGCGCATCTAATCTTGTTCAGCTCTTCACCGGCCCCATAATGCTAAGCCCAGTGCAGTTCTGAATGCCCGGCATTGTTTTTTTGTGTGTGACGCCATTACGGCGGCTGTTGTTTGCTGTTGCTCTGCTGAGGCTTTGCCTGGCTGAAATCTGCCCCCCCATCGCATAGATCAAGTTTGCTTGCAGTTTGGTGAACTTGGCCCTCTCGTCTTTTCCTTGTTTTAACTCCGGAGCCTCAGCTGAGTTGAGCCGAAGACTTAAATAGAAACTGAGGCTAGAACTAGAACGGTAATGTCTTCCCCGGTTCATATCTTTATTATTTGATCGCGAGCAAAATGCGCATAACAAGAGCGTCACTATTATCATCAATTTTTTCCTTTTTCTTCTTGGCTACCCGTTGTGAAACTCAGCGTGTGGTTGGTGAGGTGGTGCATGGATACGAGCGCATTGAACGATGATGCTGTGGCTTGAAGTCTTGATGCGTCTGGACCGTGAGCAAACAGGACTTACAGTCGCACAACAGCACCTAATTGAGCTGGCATTACATGCGCTGCGTTGCGTTGGTTTGACGGGCATCGGAGACTTTCCCTTCCTGCCTCCTCGCAAGTCCTCTCATGCATCTCATTGGATGGCAGCTCCCACAACAACCAGTGAAATTTGATTGATTCGCGTTGCGTCGTATTGCAGGCCATCAAAAGCTAACCCCAGATATTGTCGTGCCCCTGATACGACTCTCCTGTCTGCTGTCACATTGCACCAGCACCTAGCACTGCCAGCAGCCATCCATCCTACATGTCACAGCAAGGTGACCTGTCATAACATCATATCACCCAGGCTTGTTCTCCCCGCGCGGACTTTATTATCGTCCACTTATATAATGCTATGCAGAGGACACCCCCTCTTTCAGGGCGGCGAGCATCCAATCAGCGGCGTGCTGGATAGGCAGTACCGCCAGATCATCTGGCTCTGTTTTCTCGTCCGGAGTGACACCAAAGCTGCTCACATATCAACTTCATTGTTTGAGAGAAGCAGTAACACGTTAAGTGGGACAGAGAGAAAACAAAAAGACAGGCCCATTTGGACATGTTGTATAAGTCTGATTCACATAATGTGCGTCAATTCTCCTAGCCCGGTGTAAATCTGCGCAATGTGAGCGAGCACGGGTAGATTTTCCATTGCGGAGATAAAAAACCTTCTCGCGGCGAAGGCTCGCGCATTTCGCTTTCTCTAGCGAGAGAGCGGCGCATGAATGATACCACCATCTGTCTTTAGCAGGCACATTGGTACACACACATTTACATGGATAACTAAACCCCAAACACCATGAGACAACTTCATACTCGTCTGAGAAACGCCTCCCTCCCTGTAAACTCTGTTGAGCGAATGCTTCGTTATGCGCTTGGCTGTTAGCAGAGAAAACTACGCCTAAATGGCCTTGGTGATGGCGTCGGCCTAGGGAGGCAAGAGTCGGAAATAGGGACGCCAGCGTTTTCCCGCGACTAATGGTCGTTAGCACGCATATTCGTTACGAAGCACACGCACGCCAGCTCCCCCGAGCTGCATAAGTGCCCGTTTCCCAAAATCCTGCGTTGGGCAGTCACCAGAGCGTTGGCGCAAGCAAGTTCCACTTGTACGATACGATACCCGCCGGGTTGACTAGTTGACTAAATCGGTAGCAGACAAAATAATCGCAAGACGATTCAGCCAATAATACGTACAAGCAGCTGGAAGGCACTCAAAAGAACCAGAGTCAAGCGATACTGATTCGGTGTGATTGGGGCTGTGGCAGGATCGATTTGTTGCTGCCTAAGCTTCACCTCTCTTTCGGACATCCGTCAGTTCGGCGCTGCCAATACGAAGCATGCAGCCCCCAAAGGCGTCCCTTTCCACTAGGGACTAAAACTAACGCAATAGCTATGCATATTTGACGCCTCGTCGGTCAAGGACCGATATTCTGAAGGTGGCGCCGACGCACGGCATCCATCTACACCGCAAACGTCCATAGTCAAGGTCCAGGGGACGCTCAGCCAAGCCATGGCCTCGCAGGATTCTTTTCCCAGCAAACCAGGCTACTACTGCACCAGAACGGCAAAGTGCGCGTTTATTGCGCAAATAGCCCTCGGCTCTATCGCAGTCGACTGCCTGTTTGTGTGAGATGCTTGCATCTATCGTTGGCCTACCCTGTTAAAGCCGGTAAATAAGCAACACTATTCACAAGACGACACAAAGAATTCCTTCTCGCACTGCGTATTGTTGATGCCTAGGGATCGATCTCATTGGCTCTTCTCATCGGATATACCTCCTTTCTTGCGAGACAGACCACTTAGAGTTTACAAGTAAACAAGCATGATCTTCATAGGGCTTGAGCTATTCGCTACGGAGCCCTATACTGAAAGGCTCGAGCGTAAGGAAACGAAATTCTTTGCGCAAGTCCATGCTCTAAATGACTATATGAACAAAATTAGCCAGTCATCAATAACAGCATACGCGAGTGTGTCCGCAGCCCAACCCAGCGCACACGTTTAATTTCCATACGAGGAGCACTTTACGAAAGCCACGAGGATTCCAACAGATGGCCAAACACACACAGCGACACGTCAGCCTCGGACACGGAGTATGAGACCTCAGCTCGAATGAAATAGACCCAGCAAGGCGACGAATAGACAGAGTCCTAGACTAATTTGCTCATCCAATTTGAGATCCCTTCGTTTCCAGGTATCTGGTACGGCTGTCGCTGCTGGCCCTGTCGCTGCAACAGCCTCACCGGAGTTGTTGGAAAAAAAAAAAATCCTGTTTTGTGATGTGTACTTTAGCGATTGGTTACCGGGAGCCCGGAAATTGGAAGGTCCTTGTGAGAAGACGAAGTGAGAAATCGGAGATTGATTGTGCCGAGGAGCGAGTTGTTGCCCAACAACTTGTTGTTGGAAGACGCTGCATGTACTATGCGCATAATAGCTCGATGCGGGCCGTCGGTGGCCTTGCGTACATGTAGGTGAGAATGTTTCCGATAGTCTGCATAGCCCACGCGATATAGCCCAGCCCTATGTGAGGTGGGCGATTCGAGTCTCCATAGTTCTCACTAGAGCTTATACTCGTACATAACGACTCTATGCTCGAGTATAGGGGGGTTTCTCGTCGGGAGCTGCTGCTGCTGATGTGAGCAGCCGGCAGTCAACCTGGAGCTGCGATCCTTCGACCGTTTACGGTTACCGCCCTCGAATGCAACGCACTGGGCAGAATCTGAACGCGGTGGCAGTGCCGTTATCCGCCCTGACGATAACAGGCATCTCCGTAGACAGCTATGGCTGCGTGTTGGCCCCCCTGAGATGTGTACATGTACAGTAGAGTAGCATTCACATGTGGCTCATCCTTGTTGCATCTTGCAGCCAACAGGCATTTGTGACTGCGCCGAGTTGCACGCATACATGCATTCCAAACCACGTTGTATCGGTCAAGAAAAAGGGGCAGTCGTGGCTCTGTGCACCGAGATATCAGTTCTCATCAAGATCAGTAATTGGCTGAATCATCAACGCCTTGTCTCCTCTCTGAAGAGGCTGATATATCG